ACATGAAAGTTAGCTAGCTACTGGCACTGGAATCTTAGTGAAATTTGATTCCTGTGTTTGAAATATCTGTGTTGATATTTTGCCATTCCTCCATAAAATAATATTTTCGGAATACTTGGAGTAGAATATAGGTAATAGGAAAGCAGGTAATATTATTATAGGGTATTGTACAGTTTTTATTACTTTAAACATTTTTACACCTTTTCAATCAAATGAGGAAAAAAATTTAAATTCTTTGAGTTTATTTATCCTTAGACGATGTATTAATTGGTTTGGAAATTTTGTTTGAAACAGCTTGCCGGTAAATCTATATAATCACAAACACTATTTTAAACAATGATAAGAATAGAGCTAACTGTGTTTATAGAATGCACGTTGAACAAAAGATTTCTACCATGGCTATTTTTTTCATAATTTTTTTTTCGCATTTTTTGCTTACTCTTGTCGTTTCTTGGGAGATTTCTAGAGAATTCTATTAGATTTTTATAACAACAATTTTAGTCAATCATTTTAAAAATAACATAAGGTTTTCAAGACAATTTTTTGGGAATTTTTCACACTAGCTCTAATGACTTCTGGAAGGGCTTATGATATATTATACTTACTTCGATACGGTTTTTCGAATGCTTCTGAAAAATAGTTGTTGATAAAATTTTTTCAAAAAATTCAAAAATGGATGAAATATCCTTTGGAATTACCATCAGCAATCTATTTAAAAATTAACGAATGTAATTAGCGTCTAGCAACGTAAAACGCAAAATTACTAGCCGGAATAAATCGCGGCTAATACGTTACAAAAACGTCGCCCGTTAATTGTACCAAATAAGCCGAGTTGGCAATTTTTAATTCCTCATATGTTCACAAAAACTATCCACAGGTTGAAGATGCATTTTTTCAATTGAAGCTCAGCACTTCATTTCAACACTTTTCAAATATTATAGATTGTTTAAAAGTCGAAACTTGTCCGAAAAAAAAGTCTATCAAAAACAAACTTTCCAAAATTTCTTCGAAAGTTGGAACAAAACCTGGGTCTTATGAACTAAACGGCCCAAATTCATTTCTACATCTCTTGAACTGAAATTAATGTGGATGAATTTGATTGGCTAATTATCCAATCAAGTTCCATCTACATTTTCTGCCATTTCAATTGAAATTTCAAGCAGATTATTATTATTAGCCGAAATGATAAAGAAAATTGAATTTTGTTTTGTCGAGCCATTTTTTTGAATTTTGCTTGTCTGGGCAAGGTTTCACAAGTGACTCAAAATAAATTTGATAATTTAACTCAAAGTTCCACCTTTTCGGCAATTTCGACTAATATTTTTATCTGCTAGAAAAGTTGATCGGAATGCCTGACCGTATAACATGAATTTGATTGGCTAAAATTACCCAATCAAATTTGATCGCATAATTTCCAGCTTACGATGTAGAAAAATTGATTTTGGGCCGTTTAGTGCATAAGACCCCAAAACCTGCACAGAGGTTCTATGGTTAATGCTCGATTTTCATGCATTTTTGTGGTCAAAAATGTTGCCGCCATAATCAATTATAATTATTTATTGAGACTACGCCATAATCAAATATAATTACCTTTTGAGCCATAGTCAATTATAATTTCGACCAATTTTGCCGACTTTTTTTATGTGGAAAATCGATTTTAGCCTTTTTTTGGAAAATTTTGACCAAAAAATTGCGTGTTTTGGGGCGCGCACCGCCCTCAAAATTAGTCATGTTGGCGCGGTTGTCAGCGAAAAATGGATGTCGTAAAGTTTTACTAAAGGGGTGACCCTTTGAAAAATTTTGGCAACCGGAATTGAGAGGGGCAGTCGCCCCCTTCCCCCTCCCTCAGTTACTACTGTCTTTCATGATCCATTTTTTCTTTAAAATTTGAATTGAGTATAATCCATTAAAATCAACTATAAAGAATTGTACTGAAATATAACCTGTACAATTTTGAAACAAACTTTTTCCAACTTTTTCTACTTTCATCACGGCCTACGCGTTTTCTTAACCTATTGAAATTTTTGAAATTTTGCCAAAACCTTATCCATTACAAATTTATCAGCCCCTTCCATCATTATAACCCAAGATTTTTGAAAAGTTTTCCCAACCTTGAGAACACGACCCATAAAGGATGTTTTTACACATTTTATCGCAAGACGACATTCTTAAGAGATGACAATTCGTAACAAGCGACATATTGTAACAAGATATTGGCAGGTAAAACACGCTTGCTCCGCTGCGCTTGCATCCGGCTCGAAAGGAAAAGTGTTCCCCGCTTAGTCTACTGTTACTAATTGTCGCTTGTTACGAACTATCGCCTGTTACGAATTGTCGCCTGCTACTAATTGTCGCGTGTTACAAACTATCGCCTGTTACGAATTATCGCCTGTTACGAATTGTCGCCTGTTACAAATTGTCGCCTCCCTGTTCTTTCAAGAGCGTTTTGATTAAAAAAAACTGCGACATTCCGGTCAAAAAACCTGTCAAAATGGGAGAAACTTAAATGAGTAAATGTAAAATACAGGGCGGTAAAATTTTCGAAATTACAAAGATGTTTAAAAATTATGAAATGAAAAAATTGAAAATACGATTTCTAGCCGGGTTGAAGTTCATTTTGAATAATTCAATTTCTTTTTTGAGAAAACAACGGTCTTGTTTTGAGGTTACGGGTTTGTGTTTGTCATTGTCAGGATAATTTTTGGAAAAAAAAAACACTTTAAAGTCAATTTAAAATAGACTTCATTGCTTTGACAAAACAGAATATGATCCGAAAATCCTTGAATGTAGACAATAACTTAAGTCCAAAATGCTTGAAAATTGTTTTACAGAGTTAAAATAGTTTTTAGTTGTAGTGTGCAAAACGACCTTGTCTTTGGGGCAGTATGACAGTGCCGAAGTACAACAGTGCAAAAAAAAATAGTTCAACAGTACCGAAAATGAAAAGTCTGTGTTCAACAATGCCTAAAACTTGAACAAACTTGGTCCTTTTAAGTGCGGCAATCAAAAGTTAAACGGCAATCAGTTACAATCTTAAGTGACACTTTATTATTTTGAGCGAGAATATTTCCAAGTTAGACGTTTTAGCGCCAAAATAACTGTGTGCAAATTACACAGTTATTTTGGCGCTAAAACGTCTAACTTGCAAATATTCTCGCTCAAAATAATAAAGTGTCACTTAAGATTGTAACTGATTTTAACGTCAAAGTTGCAGACATTTTAGCGTCAAAGTGATTTTAGTACCGAAGTTCGAAAAAAAACGGAATATTTATGCTCGGTGTGGTTTTTTTGTCAATTTTTGCTGATCAAAGTAACATTTTTTCGAAAAAATTGTTTATACTCCATTGAAGATATCAACTACTTGAGTCCAAATTTATAAGGATATTTTATCTCCAATTATTTTTGTAATATTTTTAGGGTTTAAAAATTGCCAAATTGGCCAAGTTCTGGACTAAATTATGCGCACTTTGAAGAAATTATTCATTATGCTGAGAGCGTTAAGTAATTTTTTCACACGTGCCTAATTACCCCGCACAACAAAATCGCTCCAAATTGAATTGAGGCTAGCGGTACGACTCAATTTGTCACACTTTGATATTGTCGAAAATTTTTAGGTTTTCAATAATTTATTTTCCCAAAAACTATTCGATATGAATTAAGGGACTGTCGGAACATTCAGGGCTTTGCCGATGATACGAGCAGTCTTGTCTTGTGAATTAGCGTCAGTGTAATTTGCGCTCTTTAGAAAACGCGGTTAGATTAATCTGAATTTTTTCCGCCTATTTTGGCACTGTTGTATTTCGGCACTGTTGAACTTCACCGTATATTTGTGCCACCCGGTATTGCGCAAAAAAACTCATTTAAGGTTCTTTTAGTTTCCCACCATATTCTGGTAGGAAGTATAGAAAAATCATGCAGAATTAATTTTTTCTATAGAAATTTAAAAAATTTCAAATGTAGCATTCTTCATTGGAATCTTGGTTGCAATATGATTGACATAAGATTTTAACATTAACCAATTGAAAGTCACTTCATAAGATTTTTAAAAAAATGTTTTTTCAAAGTATCTGGCTTTGAGTAATCATTGCGCAATACAATCCAGTGTTACTTTGGAACAGCCATCTGAAATAAACGTTGTTTTGTCGAACAACGTCTATCAAACTGCGAAATGGACGAATCATATTCTTGTGATGGTGAAAAAAGCGTTGATAAAGACCGCGAACGCTCCCTCAAATAATATTTTAAAAAATTAAAATAAAAAGAAGGGGAAAAACTGTCTTGCAAATTTTCCCCAAAACGCCCTGTACTTTTTTGAGTTTTGTATTGGATCAATTCTTAGCCTACTAAAACTCAAAGCTAGCTAAAAGTGACAATAATAATATTAGGGTATTCGGTTGCGAATTGAAAACATCAACCCGACTTATTTTTGCGATGAAGTGGCTACGTCTTCAACTCTCAATCGAAAAGTGTGATCTTCGAGGCCCACCATGATTCGTGCTCGATACTTGAGGCTGGGCAACATTACTCAGCCCAAAAAATAAGCAAAAAATTGCATGCTGTTTGCAACCAGGGGCTCAAAATCAATTCTCGTTAAAAACTGAACGGCTCGTAGGTTAGTCTCTTTCCTCGTGGAAAAACCGTATTAAAAAATGGTTAAGCTGGCGTAGCTTTTCATACATTGCTCCAACTATTTTGGCATCTTGATTGGTGTGTGGTTGCTTATGGTGAAAACCTTTTACCAATCAATCAATGAGTCAGTCAACGTTTTCTGCGAACGTAAAAAATATCTATCAACATTAATTAGGCTATAAGGGATCAGTGATCGAACCTCAAAATCACACTCTCGCCCCTCCAACCCTTCCGCCGACCACAGCATCGCCTCAAACCAGAACCCAAAAAGGACATACCACTCGAAATTGTATTCTAAAAGAAAGGTTTCTTCAATGTGTTTCCTATGATAATTGTGCAATTGTGGTCGGAATATTAATATTTTGTCCGCCGTCGGCGCTGCAACCTAAAAACGTTTTTAACTGAAGAATTGACTTTGAGTATAGTACGGCCCTTAAGGAGAAGATTACATATGATGGCGTTTACAGTCAAAATGAGTCATATACGATTCTGACTTAAATACGATTCTACATGAGTGAGCAAGCGTCTGTGTCGTGAATCCGAGCCTGTTCGCTTTCCACATCTCTGTACACTTTAGTGCTGATCTCTCTCTCCCGCAACGCGGCGTGTGCCACCCGACGCATCATCTCGTCCCGCAATTGCAGCTCCCGCTTGTTCTCCTCCGCCCGTTTGTCCGCCGCCTTCTTCTTAACTCCGTCACGCCACTCGGTCTCCTTGCGCCTAAGTGAACGTTTTTCTCAATTCAACTTTATTACTGTGTTCAAAGTAGCTTTTTGACGAATCGATCTTTCCAAGAACTCGATACTTCTATTAGGTTATACAATTAAATTTTCAGAGCAATCACAAAGCTTTCAAAAATCAATTCAAGGTAACCGAATATCATCTTCAAAGGAATCAAAAAGCATTTGCATCTACTTCATTTCATTGAGAAACAGTTGCTTCTGCTGATAAAGGAACTCGCGTTTGTAGGGCTGTCTGCTCATCTGTTCCACGAACTCCAGCAGACTCTCCCTCTCCCGTCCATACTCCCCACTCAAGTCCCCCTCACTCCCGAAGAATAAGTAGCGACTACCCACCTGAAGCAGAGACAAAAATAACGTTTTGCTTGAAATATTTCATTTTGGCTCTTAACGCCACTCTTGCGTTAAGAAATATTTCATTTTGGCTCTTAACGCTATGAGAATTAATTTCTTTTTCTTCCCACATCCCCACCTAAATAACATAATAATCAATTAGATGGTTTTACAAAGGTAAGCATGAAGAACAAATATGTTTTTCATGGCCTTAGTAGTCCGCATGCCAATTTTGGTAACCATCGGACAACGCGAACAGAGAAACTAGATATAAAAATTCGATTACTGCTGCAACATTCTTTAGCAAAGTTGACTCTTGCAAATCTGCAGTTTTGCTCCACCCAATTTTCACAAATCAACCCAGCCAGCTGTGTTAAACTATCTTTTAAATCAATTTAAGGTCCTATCTCAGCCTCCGAACTTAAGGAAGACTTTAACTTTTTACTCTTTCACTCTGTGCAATACTCACTATTGATGATTGTAAGATTAAGAAGGGGGCAGGGCAGCAGGGGGATTGTGTGAAACAAAAAACATTAGGAATATATTTAAAAAAATAATCACACCTCTTCGAGTAAGTTGCGAAGTCTCTGGGGAGCCAGTCGGAAGTAGTCTTCCGAACTCAGTCCATATTTGGCCAAATCACGCTGAAAACACGATAATCGAAGCCATTAAAAACCATCACAACCAGAACAGTCCCTTTGTATTTTTCAAAATTTTTTGTCAATTTAAAAGATGTGTACAATTAGAAACCAAAGCAAAATTCTGGAAAAGTATTCCATTGGACAGCAGATGTAAGTTGAAACCAATCAGGCTTAACCTTGAGGTTGTCTGATCTTGAGAATGCGACAATGCAATGTCGTTTGAACACCTCTCCGAAGAAGGACTTGTACACATTGAAACAGTCAATGTCCTCCCTCGACATGGAAGTGTCGCATCTCAACACGAGTACAAATGCGTGTATGAACCCGAGGTGTCGCATCACTTCGGAACCCACTGATTTGAGGACGGAGACGGAGTCGGTGCCTATGCCCAGGAGCCCGGGGGTATCCAGCACTCGAACTGTCACTTCACCACTCTGAAGCTAAAACTCGACAAAGAGTCAAATTCCTGAAGCATAAGCAATGATTGAATGAGAGCTGAGCGCCTCATCTGAAAAACTCTCGTTCGAGCCTTTTTTTTCTGAACTGCAAAGAATTTTTTGAATTTGAGAATTTCAAATTTTTCAAACTTGTGATTGTTGATTATTGAGATCTTGGAGACTGTAAAAAAAACACTCAAACAGCTGGTATTCGCTCATATTTTCTGCAAATTTTGGGTGCAGTAATTCACGGAAAACGTTTTTTTTTCTTCTATACAACATGATAGATTTATTGTATAAATTTTCAAAAGGAGCTTTACTTAAGCTTCGCGCAAAGCTTCTGGGTACTTCAGAAAAGTATGACTAAATGTTAAGAATCGTTTTGAATTGAAAACAGCAATTACATGCATCTCCTTTCTATTCTTCTATCCCCTATGGTAGCTACTAACGATATATCCACAGTAAATAATGAATAGTTTACCAAGCCTATGCGAAATTTTCACATATTAACAAATCTACCAATATACATGAGGTTGTTAAAGGGAGCTTGCGTAAATTGTGATACAAAAGTGACCAGACTACGGTAAGAGACACATTGTATGGCAATCTATGGTGAAACATACATTTTTTCAGAACTCGACGAGGAGAAAAAGTTATAACTGAAAACCTGTCTGCAAACTTTTATTTCAAAAGTATTGTAACCTGCTGAAATTGAAGCGATAACCGCTACTAGTAATTAATTGCAGCTGTTGCTTATTCAGTGGTCTTTTGTTTATGCTTCAGTTCGCTTCGCCTATCGGTGCATATTAAACGATATTCAGCACAAGTAAGTTTATAAAAAAACGAAAAAATAACAAATTTTTACACATGTCAAGCTTTGCATCACACAAAAAAAAACGAACAATATGAAAAAAACTAGGTCTATTAAAACTTTCGTATGTCTCGATAAAATTTGAATCTATGCAAACATGCCAAGCAAAATGTTTGAGTTTTCAATTAGCGACGGATGAAAACTGACGAAGCGAAAACAAAGCCAACCATTTTTGAGCAGACACCAAATGAGCCGAAAAAAAAAAGAATTTTGTGAAAAAGTTTCAAGTCCCCTTAAAAATAACACTTGCTACTATAATCAACATAACCAACCGACATTTGGAAAAGAGAAATGAACGCAAAAATAAACAAAAAAAATGACTTGTGTTTTGATAAAATCTCAATTTTCAATTTTGAAGAAAAAAAAGATGGCTGTAAACTTCTGCGAATTTCTAGAGCAATTTATAATTAGCACTTTTTTGATAAAACTAACCCAAAACGAGAAAACTGGATCCTTGGGTAAAGTTTTTGTTCCTCTGGGAAAACTGATAATTAAATTCCATTCTCATAATTAGAAGTCGATGACGTTTTTTGCGATTTTTACATTGGATCCGAAAGTTTGCCTGCATTTTTACCAAAGAAAATGAACTTAACTTAAAAAAATTTAAAGTCAGACCGCGAAAAAGTAATTTTAAGCCTAAGCAAATCTTCGGACTTTTTCCCGAAAATAAAAACCAAAAAACAATTCATCGCGAAAACATTTATACGAGTCTGAACTACGTTTTTCGAATTAGAAAAACTGATATGGTCTTGGATCCGAGCGCTTGATCCTTTGCGACAAAGCCCGCTCCTTTCCACCACACTACTGGACCCAAATTTTTATTAAATTTACCTTCATTAAAAAATAAAAAAGCAAGCTATCAAATGATTCAAGTGATTCTGTTAAACTAATTGTTAAATACATAAAAGTCAATATTTCACTTTGATAACGCTTTCTTATCGTAAGTGTAATTATCACAAGCGTAGAAGATCTAATATATCAAAACAAAATCATAAAACAAGTGGATCAAAAAATCTATTGGTCAACAAAAACGTATTAAACAGTTTTCAAGCCAGCAAACTTTTCTGCAATTAAGCAAAAATAGACAGAAATATAAAGCAAAATAAACAACAAAAAATCAGTACCGGTTTTACAAATAGTCATGACCGATGCTTCAATAAACCGGCAACAAAAATTCATCTACACCAAAAAAGACTTTTTAGAAAAAAAAGGAAATTGTTTGAAAATATCGTCAGAAATTTATAAACAGAAAAAAAATTCAACAAAAAAATAAATTCGAAATCAGTCGTCATAAACCTTATACAATTTTTGATCTACTCAAATTAAACCCGGTGAGAAAAAAAGATTATTTTGATCTGGGCTGACACGCATAGACCGAAAATGCTAATTATACAATTTCATGAGATTCTATTAAATTGCTAATCCGACAATTTTCATACATTATTGCTGAATTAGTGTAGAAAATTTTAAAACCTTTTTTTTCAACAAATTTTGGTGTATCATCATAAAAAAACTTGATAAGCAAAAAGAGCTTATCATACAAATGCTTATCATGGTGTGTCTAGCATTTTTTTTGATTGCGTCTCCAAAGATTACAAAAGAGTTTTAGAATCGCACGAAATTTTTTATTGATCGCAAACAGAATTTTTGCTCCAACAATCAATTCGAAAAAGTTTTTTTTAGGATGCCAAGTTTATATTTTTGTCGGCATAATGTATTCATAGGTAAACAAAATTTGGATTAATTTTCCGTTTCTCAAAAAAAATGTTTTCAAAATGCACCGCTTCTGGGTACTTCAGAAAAGTATGACTAAATGTTAACAATCGTTTTGAATTGAAAACAGCAATTACATGCATCTCCTTTCTTTTCCTCTATCCCCTATGGTAGCTACTAACGATATCCACAGTAAATAATGAACAGTTTACCAAGCCTATGAGAACTTTTCATATAATGACAAATCTACCAATATTCATGAGGTTGTTAAAGGGAGCTTGCGTAAATTGTGATGCAAAAATGACCAGACTACGGTAAGAGACACATTGTATGGCAATCTATGGTAAAACATACATTTTTTCAGAACTCGACGAGGAAGAAAAGTTTTAATTGAAAACTTGTCTGCAAACTTTTTTTTCAAAAGTATTGTACCTGATGAAATTGAAGCGATAACCGCTACTAGTAATTAATTGCAGCTGTTGCTTATTCAGTGGTCTTTTATTTATACTTCAGTTCTCTTCGCCTATCGGTGCATATTAAAAGATATTCAGCACAGATATTCAGCACGGGTAAGTTTAAAAAACGAAATAAATAACAAATTTTAACACAAATATCAAGCGGAGCTTTGCATCACATGTAATACATCACAAAAGAAAAACAAAAAAAACGAACAATACTGAAAAAACTAGGTCTACTAAAACTTTCGTTTGTCTCGATAAAATTTGAATCTATGCAAACATGCCAAGCAAAATGTTTGAGTTTTCAATTAGCAACGGATGAAAACTGACGAAGCGAAAACAAAGCCAACAATTTTTGAGCAGACACCAGATGAGCCGAAAAAAAAGATTTTATAAAAAAGTTTCAAATCCCCTAAAAAATTAACAATTGCAACTATACTGAACATAACCAACCGACATTTGGAAAAGAGAAATGAACGCAAAAAAAAACAAAAAAAAATGACTTGTGTTTTGATAAAATCTCAATTTTCAATTTTGAAGAAAAAAAAGATGGTTGTAAACTTCTGCGAATTTCTAGAGCAATTTATAATTAGCCATTTTTTGATAAAACTAACCCAAAACGAGAAAGCTGGATCCTTGATTAAAGCTTTTGTTCCGCTGGGAAAACTGATAATTAAATTCCATTCTCATAATTAGAAAACGATGACGTTTTTTGCGATTTTTACCTTGGATCCGGAAGTTGGCCTGCATTTTTACCAAAGAAAATGAACTTAACTAAAAGAAATTTAAAGTCAAACCGCGAAAAAGTAATTTTAAGCCTAAGCAAATCTTCGGACTTTTTCCCGAAAATAAAAACCAAAAAACAATTCATCGCGAAAACATTTATACGAGTCTGAACTACGTTTTTCGAATTAGAAAAACTGATATGGTCTTGGATCCGAGCGCTTGATCCTTTGCGACAAAGCCCGCTCCTTTCCACCACACTACTGGACCCAAATTTTTATTAAATTTACCTTCATTAAAAAATAAAAAAGCAAGCTATCAAATGATTCAAGTGATTCTGTTAAACTAATTGTTAAATACATAAAAGTCAATATTTCAGTTTGATAACGCTTGCTTATCGTAAGTGTAATTATCACAAGCGTAGAAGACTTAATATATCAAAAAAAATTATAAAACAAGTTGATCAAAAAATCTATTGGTCAACAAAAACGTATTAAACAATTTTCAAGCCAGCAAACTTTTCTGCAATTAAGCAAAAATAGACAGAAATAAAAAGCAAAATAAACAACAAAAAATCAGTACCGGTTTTACAAATAGTCAGGACCGATGCTTCAATAAACCGACAACAGAGATTCATCTACACCAAAAAAGACTTTTTAGAAAAAAAAGGAATATAATTGAAACTATCGTCAGAAATTTATAAACAGAAAAAAAATTCAACAAAAAAATAAATTCGAAATCAGTCGTCATAAACTTTATACAATTTTTGATCTACTCAAATTAAACCCGGTGAGAAAAAAAGATTATTTTGATCTGGGCTGACACGCATAGACCGAAAATGCTAATTGAACAATTTCATGAGATTCTATTAAATTGCTAATCAGACAATTTTCATACATTATTGCTGAATTAGTGTAGAAAACTTTAAAACCTTTTTTTCAACAAATTTTGGTGTATCATCATAAAAAAAACTTGATAAGCAAAAAGAGCTTATCATACAAATGCTTATCATGGTGTGTCTAGCATTTTTTTGATTGCGTCTCCAAAGTTTACAAAAGAGTTTTAGAATCGCACGAAAGTTTTTATTGATCGCAAACAGAATTTTTGCTTCAACAATCAATTCAAAAATGTTTTTTTTTAGGATGCCAAGTTTCTATTTTTGTCGGCATAATGTAGTCATAGGTAAACAAAAATTGGAGTGTTTTCCGTTTCTCAAAATAAATGTTTTCAAAATGCAC